GGGTAAAGTGACTAAAAAATAACGTTAAGGAGGAAATTGATAGTGGCACCAAACGTTAAGGGGGTAAAGTGATAATAACCCCTAAAATTAATTTCAAACCTTATCTGATTTTTATTTCAAATAATGGAGATACAATATCAAACCAGCATGAAAGTAATGATTGTCACATGCTATAAAGGAAGAAAAGATGAGGAATATTACGAGATTTGTTATACAAATACATATAAAATAAATTAAAATGAAAAAAATGACAAACAAATTTAGCCACATAATATTAGCAAGAAAAGAAAACCCATGAAATTTCATCAAGATGAAGAGAGAAAGAATTGTCACTTGAATCAACAGAGTACAATCAATCATAAGTTTCGATAAAAGAAAGGGATAATTTCATAAACCTCCCCTGAGGTTTTGTGAAATATCACCTAGCTCCCTTGAGGTTTTCAAAATCTCACTTAGCACCCATTGAATTGACATTTTGGTAACATTGGAAGCCCTTCTAACCAAAAGTAATATTAAAAAATTCATGTTTGAGGAGAGAGATTATTTTAGTGCCTTTAACACCCTTAGGCTATAAAAAAATGAACATTTTACAAACCAAGGAAAAAAAGTACTAAATTGGAACTATCTTAAAAGTGAGGATATGAAAATTGGTAAGATTTTATGTTACAGCCAATAGTCACGTCTATAGTAGGAAGAGATAGTAAAAGCAAATACTATTTTTTAAACTATTTATACAAATAGAACCCTTCATAGCGTTAAAGGTAATTAGCATGTAAAATCATACATTTGAGCAAAAAAAACTTAGTTATAGATGAAATTTAACTTCAATATCATACAAAAAATTTACTCAAAATAGACCGACTTTTTTATGGATGCGAAATATGAAAATTTTATTATAGAAAAAGTCAGAATTTGAAAAATTATTTGGAGTTTCAATTACTTTATTTCTCTTGCGCTCTACATGAATAGGAATAAATAAATAAATAAATAAAGTTGTGAAACACCAAAAAAGGGAAAAAATAAAAAGAACCTGCGGCTATTTTTCTCCAAATGCATTGAATATTTCATTGATTAAATCCTATATTTCATTAACATTTGCAATTCAATAATACATACATATATATGTATGTTTGTATAGACATTGTTAAAGAAAAGTAGGAAATTTAGCGAAAGAAAAACAAGTTCAGAAAATTTAAATATGAGGGTATTATTGACAATTCATCACATTTGATATTAGTATATGACCCTACTATCACTTCAAGGGTGCTAAGTGAGATTTTGAAAAGTTTAGGGAAGCTAGGTGATATTTCATGAAACCTCAAGGGAGGTTTCTGAAGTCAAGAACGCACGCATACAGTTAGAGTAACACTCGGGGAATCACCAAAGAACGACTCAAAGGACAATTTAAGGGAGACCCATAAAGCAACCCGATTCAGCCAATTGATGATAGAACGTGGCACCTGTGGACCTTAAAGTCAGAGTAACTACCCCACGATTTTTCGATGTGGGACGGGAAGCCCCACATCATAGTTCTCATAGACTTGCCATACCATAGAGTTGCTCTCATAGTTCTCAACCAAGCATCATGAATGAAATTGACACTTTTAATAACTCATAGTAGACCCCTAATACCGTCAACCAAACTGAGTGCCTAGTAGTACCATGTTGGGTATAGTGGGCTACAAGAATGATTTTCTGTTCGTTTCCCTTGGAGTATAGCATTAGGACTACCAGTTGGAAAAGTGATGTTCAGACCCCTTTTTTTGGGTGATTTCAATTCAGTCATTGTCACAAGTTAGGACATCTTTTGAAATTATAAGAATTTTAGGGAGGTAATTATATATTATCACTAATACAATTCTCGATTATAATAAAATTTAGATACATAATGTTTTATAAAGAAATAATCCGTCATTACCAACAAAGCCATGCATTAGATGTTCAAACTTTAGTGGATTGAATGTGAAAGTATGTTTAGGGTGGCTATTTAGACAATGAGGGATTGGAACCTATTTTTATGTATTTTTGGTAGGTATCATATAACAAGTTAGTAACTTCTAGCAAATGGAGTACCGAGCTAGGCGTTGCTTATGAGAGGAAGATCCAAATTTTATCATGGAAATATTTTTCATTCCTCATTGGATGATACATTACACGGTGAAGTTGATTCAATAATAGTGCCTCATGGAACTTAATCTCTGAAACTTGTAACGGTTTGTTTGGATAGTAGATTATTTGGCCAAATATATTTGTTGACATCACCATTACAATTTTCAATACAGTTTTTTATCTCACATACATCACATCACAAAAAGTGCTACAGTAATTATTCCAAATAATATTTCAAATAATACCCTATCCAAACAAATATGCTACATCTATGGCATATGCTAGATCAAAGTCTATCTAAATTTATACCCAAAATGAGCTTGCATTGTTTGTATAAAAACTTTTTGTATCTTTCCATGAATACTTTTTATGAAACGGTACATATATTCCTTGTGTCCAAGCTAGAAAATAGAAGGTCTTGGTCGGTGGAGATGAATAAAAGAGGATTTGTACGACAATAAAGATGTGTGGTTAATTTTGCCTCGAGAAACCAAATTTTTAGCATAGAAATTGCTGTAAATAGAACAAGATTAACTTAAAGCACTTGAGCCAGTACAACCCAATCTTCTTTAATTTCCTAACCGATTTGCCATGCTAATAAAATCAAATTTCAAATAGACATCATGATATGCAGCCACTTTTCGAGATTTCAATTCCTACAAGATGATCCAACCACTTTTATTACTAACAGCAGCCGTAATTTCAAGCATCAGATTTGGTTCTTGTGAGATCAAGGATGTGCACATTGTTGAAGACTCGAGGCCTATAATCTTGTTCGAGAAATTTGGATTTGCTCCGGATGGGCACGTTGACATTTCCATAAAACGTGTTTCTTGGAAATCAAAACATCAAAATGCGAAACTTGATCTTTCTTCCATGGGATTCTTTCTTGTTAGAGATGTATCCTACCCCCAAATCCTGAACGAGTCTTCTTACACAGATGGCTTCTGTGTCCTGTCAAGCATGTATGTGCAGAATCTGTTCGGGTTTGACAAGCTTGCCCCTGATTCGACATTTAATACCTCTGCAGTAATTGACCAACCTGATGAATATAATCTAGTTTTTGGGAATTGTCAGACAGAATTTCATGTGAGTATGAATGTTCACACAGAACTGTATAATATACATGACGGGGAGAAGGATTTCCTCCCAGCAGGTCAAACTTCATTGCCAAAATTGTATTTCTTCTTCTTTCTGGTCTACGTTGCAATTTTGGCTGTATGGGGTTTTATTTGCATTAAACAAAGGCTTACCGTCCACAAGATCCATCTGATCATGGCTGCATTACTTCTTTTCAAGGCACTTAAGATGATTTGTGCCTCTGAGGACAAAATGTACATAAGAAAGACCGGTACTCCTCATGGATGGGATGTGGCTTTCTACATTTTCGGATTCTTGAAAGGTGTCACTCTTTTCACCGTTATCGTTCTCGTAGGAACAGGTTGGTCATTCTTGAAGCCATACTTGCAAGAACGCGAGAAGATTATCTTGATGTTTGTAATCCCATTGCAAGTTTTAGAGAACATAGCTTCAGTGGTCATCAGTGAAACAGGTCCCGTGAAAAAGGACTGGTTTGCATGGACTGAAATGTTCTTGTTGATAGACGTCGTGTGTTGCTGCACCATTTTGTTCCCTATCTTCTGGTCTATCAGAAGCCTAAAAGAGGCCTCGAAGACTGATGGAAAGGCAGCTAAGAACCTTGAAAAGTTAACACTTTTCAAGCAATTCTACGCTGTTGTCATTGCTTATCTGTACTTCACAAGAGTTGTGGTTTCAGCAATTGGGGCTAATATCAATTACAGGTACGACTGGGTGCCGGTAGCTGCAGCTGAAGGAGCAAGCTTGGTGTTCTATTTGTTTATCTTTTATCATTTTCAACCAGTAGAAAGAAATCCATACTTGGTCATCGGGGATGTTGAGGATACCACCAGAAATCAAACATTAGAAATAGAGGATCCCATGGAATCCTAAGTAGTAGAACAGGAAGGATCATGGTGCATTTTGCAAGTTTGTTGCTATTCAATGACTTGCTGCATTGATAGTGTTTCTATTAAGATACTCTTCATACCTTTTGCTATCTCTCGTCTTATCCGGTAACCCTTTGGATGATTGGCCTCCCTTTTTACCTGACTCTTGGACATTTTAGTGGTATGCTGGAGCAGGAAAATGGATTCAGTGAGCTTGAGTTGATAAATATTGCAGGACTTGTGTGCTAATCCCTGTGATCTTTTGGCATCAAAATAAAGACATGAAAATTATAAGGTTTAAAATCTCTCTTGGACAAAAAAGAAGGAGAAGAAGAAGAAGACGTAATAGTTGTGTACTATTTCGGAGAGCTTTTGCTTCAATTAGTATGTCAAATTAAACATACATGCTTCGAACCCGTTTGGCAAGTGAATTTTTTGGGTGTTTGTCTTTACTGTAACTACAGTAACCTCAAAAAACTTTTTAAAGTTTTTAAACTATATACTTCAAAATATTAAAAAAAAATACATTTCAAAAATTTTTTAAAAAACTTCTAGGGTAAGTTACAGTAAAGTTTTAGACAAACACCCAAAAAACTCACATTCCAAACGGAGTGTAAAGTTTTCAAAATACTTGTAACAGATAAACTTGGCAAAAAAACTTGTCTTCCAAACAATGAGAAATAAGGATTACTTCGTGAAGTGTATATTCCCATAAAACATTTTTGATAGCTGTAAAGAGAAATTAAGAGAAGGGGAAACCCCCCAGAGAGAGAGAGAGACAGAAGTGGAAACCCCCCAAAGGTTATTTATTTGTTTATTTCGGCATTAGATTTTTTTCTCCCCCTTTTTTTTTTGCCTAAATTTTTTTTTTTTCAAACTTGGGTTATTTGTTGACTCTTGTCTTCCATTTGACCGACTAAATAAGCAAAAAAGAGCCCAAAAAAATCTGAAAAAATATGAAACAAAATCAAAGCCTCTCCATTTTTTTTTAGGCTTCTTCGCCTCTTCGGCTCTTTCCTCTTGCTGCCGCAACTCCAGCTCCTCCACAAGTCCACCACCATCGCTAGCAACAGGCTTGTGCACCACCACCGGACTTCACCAGCATAACTTCCCCTGCTCCTCTGGTTTATTTTGGAACACCGATTTTTTTCCACTGCTTTCTACCGTAGCTCCTCCACCACCACTGCTCCTCAGAGATTGCAGCAGCCGCTCCTGTGGTAATTTTTGGAATTCAAGCTTAAGACTTAACCAAATTATCCAATCGGTAATTTTTCCCATTTTTTAATATATCATATCCTGTCATTCCTGTGGTTGGAGCCTAAAGTATGATGAAAGAAACATCTGATGGTTTATAACCTTTTATATCATATCTTGGGGCTATTTCAATAAATTCATGCTTGGCTTTTTCTTTTGTTTAGCAAGAATTTAGCACTTGGGAGCGGCTGAAATTTTTAACCCAAAATATATATATATATATATATATATATATATATATCAAAGAAAAGAGAAATCAAATTGGTGCTGACTTCCCAAAAATCCCCCAATCCCTAATTCACAGCTAAGCCGCCGGAAGTGGTGTTCGACTGCAATTGTCGATTTTTTTTTTTTTTTTTTATTGGTGAGTAGAATATATATCCTTTCATTTCTGTAGTAAAGTTGGAATTTTTGGCTCTTTGTTGTTCTTCCATTTTGGGGTTGTGGAGTCACAAAATTGACCTTCAATCCTTTTGCAGAATGGAAAGCGAACAAGTTACAGAGACATCTCCTTCTTATGAGAAGATGTACCAGATTTTCTCAGATTTCATGACAAGGTTAATTATTCTTGACTAGCTTGGTTGAAAATGAAATTGAGCTTAAAAAAAAAGGCAATTATGTTTAAATGTGAATCCTTCTACACCTTTATGACTAGCTTTATGCTTATGATTGCATTAAAATTCTGCTATTAATAGGACACAACTCATAACTAGCATTACTTAATTTTACGTTTTTACATAGGATCACTAAATTTGAGGAGCTAGTGGACGTGGGAAACAGATTTCTTGTGGGCTTTCAACAAGGACTTGGTAATTTTTAATGGAGTATGATTACATATTGCTCAGAATCAAGATGAATTCTTTTTTTCATTTGATAATTTTGATTCACTTCTGCCTACACAGACTTTCTTCGGCGACCACCAATTGACATGACTTCAGAATTGGTTGCGAACATTATAAAAGCTAATGAAACTAGAAGGCTTTCATCTTATATTGAAGCAGGATGTGTAAACATGCATGATAGAAAACAATGTTTGGGCACGTGTAAGTGTGTCTTTTATGCTTGCTTTTCAGTTGGTAGACACTATTAGAGGTGAAAAGATAATATCCATGTCACTAAATGAGCTTTAGGATATTTGGATACAAGCATGGAGATTTCTTGAGTGGAGGTCCCTGCATTATCTTTTCTACTCATTTGGCTTTGCCTTGTTATTCTATTAATTGTTTCTTTGTGGCACCTGATATATTAGATGGTCAGAGAATTTTAAGAGTTTCAAGAAAAAATTTAGGAAACAGATAGTTGAAACTAGATGTAGCATTTTTTGGATTCCCTTTTATAAAGTGCTTACATAAACTCCTTTTATCAAATTTCATTCACTTAACCTCTTGCTTCAGTTCCAATATTAAGCCGATATTTACTGTAACCTTATGATAGGGACTAAAAAAATAGTGTCATGTAATTTACTTGATGGAGCGAACATGCAGATGTTTCAAACTGTATTGTTTGTTACCGTGTCAGGATTAAACTATCTGGTGGGTGCTTGATAATTTGAAAAAAAAAGGGGGAAAATGGTAATATTTGTATCTTGTTGAAAGCTTGTTTATGCTTTCTCAGTTTTGAAGTGTCAGTCAACATCTCACCTCGGTGTCAAAGTTATCTGTGCTCTATTCTTTACTGGAAAGCTTCTATTCAATGGTTCTTATGATGTTTGGGACTTTGTCATCTTATTGTAACTCTTTTCCTTTTCTTGGTGTTATTGTTCTGCATAGAGAAGTGAGTACCTGCCATCATGGACTCTTGGACCATTTAATTGGAGGTACAAGCCCATTCACGACATTATTTTTTTATTCTTGAGTTGTTGATTGATGGTGCTACATTGTCCTTTAAGAACAGTCTAGTCTGCTATCTTTTTATGTGAAAATTTTTATTTGTCTTTAGCAGAATGTAGGACGCAGTTTACAAAATAGAAGGTGTTTCTTTGTCCTGGACATTGCATTCCTAAAAGTTGGGTTTTACCCCTCAGCTTTTGGTATTTTACCAATAAAAATGAACCCTTATTGGTGAACGCTAGATAAACAAACTTCATGTGCTGTTTGAATTTTTTCAAAAGTACCTATGTAAATTTAAATATGATCTTATTTGAAATTTTATTATCACTCCATTCTTTCTGTAATACCTTCTTGTCCTCATGCTGCTTACTGTCTCTGATTGGTAGAATAGTAGCAAAGCTTTTTCATTTTGTTTATCTATTGTTTGATCATTGTTGTTATATTGATGGGGAATGAACACAGACAATTGATTATTCCCAAGGCAGAAAATATTATCCAAAGTGAAATGTTGTTGCAATTCAGTTAAGACGTTGGGTAGTTCTGGTCAACAGAAATAGGATTTAAGACTATGCTCCTGGCTGTTGTCATATGTTGCTTTTAGTGAGCGAATGCATCCTGGAAGCTATAAGTTTGGCTGTCTAACTGGAGTAGGTCACCTACCAGTCATTTAGGAAAATTGTCTTGGTGATTAGAGGACGGGGTTCATGTGATCCATGTGTAATCTAAGCCAATTTAGACTTTAGAGGCTATGGAGGTTGCTTATCTTATAAATTCTTATGTTGTAAAAATGTCGTTTTTTACTTCTGAGCTATTAGAACAAAGGTTCTCTTCTTGCACTTCTTAAATTTCAACATAATTGATCCTATAAAAGAATTTTTTTCACGCTTTTGATGCTTACTTTTGAAACTGTCCCTGTATCAATAATTACAGCTAAGAGTGTAGTGAACGAACTCCAGTGCCTTCTGGATGATGCAGCAACAGCTGTCCAGAATTCCAATGAGAATTTGCAGGATAAAGACTTTCATGGTGACTTGGATTCAAATACAGATATAATTACCAAAGTATGATGTCCCTTCCCTTGAATAGAACCACAATTTGTTTGAGAAAATCAAATCTGGTTTTGTAGCAAATTACCAAACTAAAGAATACTGAAATTTTATTCAAATTTGAAGCGTCAAAGTAATTTCTTTTTGCTGGTCAATTATGAAAATTCACTCAGTTATTACTAATAAAAACTTATAACCTTTCTTGGATATTATTTTGTCATTCGTGTTGGTTATGTTTGTCTAGGAGGATTTCTTACCCGCCCATGTTCAGAAACCTGAAATTACTGATTATGCTGCCTTAATGGCTGTTATATATGGTATGGTCAAACAAGACTACGAGATGCAGGTTAGCCACCTCCCTTAGTGGTGATGATTGTATTCCAGATATATATTCTTATGTTCTCCTTTATTATGGATGAAGTTTCCAAACATTCACCTGTCCCTTTGATTACTCTCTAATCAGATCACTGACTGTTGCAGGAAAGGATTGTTTCCTCTCTTAGTTTGAAGTCATCATCGGGTGAAATGGAGAGTTATTGCCTCATGTGGTCTCTCCGGCCCTTTATAGACGATGAAATCATACATAAAGCCTGGAGATTGATTCGATGACTGCTTCTCTGTTCTTTACCAGCTCATTAAGGAGAGCTGATCTTTTACACCACAGAATTGGTTCTGCAATTCTACCGGGATAACATGCATGTACGTGTAAAATGCATAGCAACATTTTAGTGACAGAATGTCAAAATAATTGCTTCCGGAGATCGAGTGAGTAAAGTTGTTGTGAGGAAAGAGGTGTATTGTAAACAGTAGTATTACTAGCAGTGATCTTTGATCTTTGAATGTATATTTGAGTTTGACATATCAAACTTGGATGCTGTGGAGTAATGAATTCTGTTCCGTTCCCTATTTTTATTGTCTTTTTCCTTCGACCTTCTTATTTCATTCTTCTGGATATAATCAAGCATCTGGGAGTTCTAATAATAATCTCTTTTAGAAAATTGTATTTAGTCACTTCAATATGGAACCTGTATGCACTTGACTTTGTCGTTAATAATTGATATCAGAGAGAACAATTCGTATGGAAAAATCATTGCTCTCGAACTTTTTTTCAAATGTAAATGGAGGTGTTGAATCGAAATTTTTCAGTTACATTTTCTTCTCTCGTATTATTCAATTCATGCTTTCTCTGAAAAATTCGTTGCTGAAGAAGAAGAAGAAGAAGAAGCTCGCATGCTCTCTTCGACCCTTTTTCTAAATTTTACTATTTGCATTTCCATGAGATGAAGAGTGTGTTTCTATTTTTGGTTTTACACCCAAAGCTGGAATAGAAAATAAAGGATTTTACTAAGCCAAAGAGAAGTTTCTGAGTAGCTTTGTTAGCTTAGTTTCTTACTATTAGTAGTTTTGTTAGCTAAGTAAAAATTCAATAATTAATCCAATGGAAAGCCCCAGAAATAAAATCCACCCCAGAAGAGAAGGATGGTATGGCAAGGAAACAAAAAATTAGCAACTTCAGTTCCTTTTCGCCCCCTCTGAATGGGGACTGGAGCACTGCAGTTGCTCAGCCTAATAAGCTCGTCTCCTCCTCCTCCTCGTCATAATCTCTGTTCCCAAAAATTCTGGAAAAAGAGCCAAAATCCAAGTAGCCAAAACAACCATACTGGGTTCTCTTTCTCCCCAAAAGCCGGCGGAAGAGTTGGTGGGTCCGAGTGGGAGAGGAGCAAGACCAGTACCAGCACCCACGAGCCACACCGGCGGTCTAGACCCAGTTACGAGTTTGATTTTTATGAGGACGAGTTTGGGCTCGGAAACGCCAGGAAGCAGAGGAGGAAGTGGTGGTCTGAGGACTCATCACCGTGGGACACTGACATTGATGATGATGATGAACTTCTTGATGGGCTAGGGATTTTTGAAGGCTCCATTGGTTTCTCTTCCATTTTCAAGGTGACTAATCAATATCCCAATATTTCAATTATTTTGTTTTTTCTTTTGTTTCAAACAATCATACTTGAATTGATGAACTTCTGTCGAGCTTCCTATTTTTTGAAGTTTGTACTGATTATAATTTACCTTTTTCTTTTGAGAAAGACAATTGACTAGTAACCTGCCAAAGCAAATAATGGAAGAAAATTTTTAGGTAGCCAAATGTTTTAGTATCCCCAACTAAAGAATTGGTTGCCCCGTATAGCTCCACTTATTACCGGTGTTCTCTTGTCAATATTATTGTATCTTGAAGTCCTCCTAAGTACCTATAGTAATCAGATTGAGGCATTTCATTAGGTATATGAAGAGTATTTACTAATCGTGAACATTGACTGCAATGAACTTGTTATATGTGGCTATCCTGTTTAATCTTTTATGTAAGAGTGCACCTGTGAGATTTCCTATGTCTGAATTGTGAGATTGTGGTTTGAAACTTTGGCTGGTTATTGTAGATTTTAGAAGATGTTTTCCTTTGGTCGTGGTTACGTGCTAGTATGTCTACAATTTTTTCGTTTGTAATTCTGATCATCTAACTTTTGCCAGTGGCCATTATGTAAGAAGAATTTTTGGCAGACATTGAGAAAAATCTAGATTTGAAATGTCGGTTTCCATTTTTGAATAAAAGACAGAGCAAAGGGAATTCATAACCTGGGTTGTTTAGAATGACGTTTGTCACTATAGCTTTACATCTAAGAAATTTATCAGAAGACCAATCACAATTACAGTATAGCACAACATTTGGGTCTAATGCTGGGCAACTAGGCTACCGTATGACATGGATGCCCAATCATAAATTAAAGTAGTTGCCAGTTGGTTATTCTTATAATGTGGTTCCCATAACGCGGTGAGGTCTTCGGTACCCTGATAGAGTGGGGTGAGAATACCATAATGTGGTCCAATCGGCTTGGTCTCGGGTAGTGTGTGTTTCTCATAGCTGTGGGGCATCTGGTCAAAGCTCTCTGTGCTTCTTTGAGAGGCCTCCATGTGTTTCTCACGCCTTCTTCCCAACTGCAATGGTTCTGAGCCCCTCAGAAACCCTAGTGAGATTACTGTTGGTATTTCCTAGCTCATGTGTTAATTTGGGCCAATGCCTATCATTCACCAGAAGCCCTAAAGGACAGCTTATTATTCAATAGCAAATAGATATCTGATTCTCCACCACTTCTGCTTTGGTTTCTATGTGATATAAGCAAAATGGTCTTACCTGACTTCTGCCAACTTACAGCCCTCCCAAAAATCCTTATACTTCCACCACTGCCAGTCCTCCTCCTAAAAGCTGAACAGCCTACCATTTCTTGGTATCAAGTTCCTAATTTGATTGGAGATTCCCTCTCTTCTCTAGCCAAAATGTTGCGAGTGTCCTCTTCCTTGCTCAAAACTAATCTATTGTGACACATGTTCTCTGTTCTTCCTGCCAGCAACCTGTCAGTAGGTCGCTAATTTGCCCCTTCCCTCTATGATCAAGATATATTTTTACACTGCAGACAAAAACGACTGATCTCTCTCCTTGCATGCCCCTACCAGGCTTTGACAATTTTTCATTGATTTGTTGACAAAAGGCATTTAAGAGCACATAAATAACCTTTCTTGTAATTCAAATTGTTTTTGTCACAACTGTTGCTAGTGAAGGTATTGTGCTTAATGTGGTTGTGCAGAGAATATTAGAGGAAAAACGAAGAACGATTTTGTAAGCATTGTTGTCAGATATTCTCAAAGTAGGTTAGATGATCAAGTGGTGCTTAAAGGAGTAGTTGTCTCTTTACAATGACTATTTGGAAAAGTTTAAGGGGGTGAAGTGATACAATTGAAAGTCATTGCATTAGCATGCAGTCAATGTGATAGAATTTATCAGCCTTCAACACCTGGTTGTACTCAGATTTTTTTTGTCAAATTTGGTATGACTTGTCTTTCATTTTGCCTTTAATCTATCTTCTAATTTTTTTGTGGACATTTAAGTTCGCTTGCATGTCAACAGGGATATTATAAGCTTCCTATTGGTAAATAATATGAAGCTCCATTTAATTCATTAAGTGACTTTGCTGAGCATGATTGCTTCTTGTCAATATGTTGTAACTATCTTTATCTTTGCTTTCATCTCAATGTGATGTTCCTTTTTCTGCTTCTGTAAATTAATTTGCTATGCAACCTGAATCTAACATCACTGTATGTTTCTGGGGTCTAAGGAGAACATGGACATTCCTAGAGTCAATATGGTTATAGTGAAGATATGAGTAGGTATACCTATTAAGGCTGAAGCAGAGAACAATTGCAGAGATTGAAAGATAACCTGAACTTATGGCGGATGTTAGAAAATTGCGTTTTGTTCTTATTTATTTTCCCCTATCTAGACAATTGTGATTGAAAGCTGTAGAACTTTCAACTTTGAGGTCTTGTCTCTTGCACTAATTTATAAGTTAGTAATCATCAGTCGCACCTTTTATGTTGAAGCATCTTCATTTAAGTACAAGTTGCATTATCTTAAGTTTTTCATGATTGAACAAAGTCCCATTATGAATGCAGGTACTTAGATCATTTGGCTGGATGATTCCTCCCATCATTTTATCAATGCTGCTAGGGACTGGAACAGATACCTTTTTCATGGCATTAGTTCTCCCCCTAGCTCAGTCTGCTCTTTCCTTATTATTTGATTCTGTATGGGGAAGGCCCACTAACAGACATAGAACAACATCAAAGTCCCAGAAAAGGAAGAGGACCTCTGCTGGAGCTACAAGTAGTAGTAGAATGAAAGAGGAGAAACAACGAAGGAGCCAGAACGGCAAGAGGGTTGGCGATTACTGGTCTTGGGGCTCAAATAACATTTCTGCTGAGAAAGGGGAGGAAAGGGCTCGGAACTTTGGCGGATGGGATGAGCTTGATAGAGCAGAGAGAATGCAAGAAGAGACTAACACTGCAAGAGCAAATCAAACAAGACGGGATACAGAAGGTAAACTCAGTCGAAGAGCAAGAAACAGGCATACACCACTTCTGGTGAGGTTGCTCATTGCCTTCTTCCCATTTTTGGGATTTTGGAGCAAATTATTGTAAGTATGTGGTGTCCTCTTCAGTGACGTTAGGTATCCATTCCTGGGTGACCAGTATTAATTGGTTCATTGAATTTGTTTGGACCATATGTTAGTTTCTCCATTCAAAAATCTCAAGGAGAGCAGACGCATGTATATCAGTTGTATTTGTTTTCATACGAGGTAAGCGTTTAGCTAGGAAATTGAAGCTTGTTGAGTTCTATCGTCTTCTAGTTTGGAATGACTGATTGGCAGCAGTCTCTGTCCTTGTAAATGTGTGTACCTGGAAAACGATTTGAATTCTGCACATAGATCGAAGTAGAAATGAATGGCTGCTGGGATTTGGACACTTCCTGTACATACATTTAGTTCAAAATTTTCCATATTTGCATGGATGTCTAGAAACAGATCAATTTTCCCTTATACGTGAGTTTGACAAATGATATCCATGAATTATTGCGTACAGAATCCAAAGTATTGACAGTTTCTACATCAAGGAATTGAGGAGCAAGCAGCCTATGATCCCTGTCCAACAATTTGGACAGGACGAGACAGAGACAAAAATTGTGATTCCTTTTTTGTTTTGATAACAAGTGGATGGTCATGAATTTCCAAGCGTTTTGCATTGTCAGTAACAGAGCATAATAGAGCATTTGTACAATATGCATGTCATGGAGTTTGCCGAATTATAATGGCCAGTTTATCTGACTGAAGATTAAGAGGTCTGCACTGGCTGGCAACAATTTTGTTTGATAATTTGCACCTCATCATGGAAAGCCTTATGAGCAATGGATAATTGCAAAACATGCTAAAATAGATTTCTTTGTGTCAAGCTCACATACTATTTGCAGCAAGCCTGTTTTCAAGTTTTAAGCCCCAAAAAAAAAGGTTAAAGGAGCTAGAGAATGAAAGACTTCCTATTGCAGCTCTTTTTTTTCAGTTAAATTCTTCTCTGGTGAGGCACAATGCAATTTGCTCATAAAACTGCCAATTGGTCAAAAGATCCTTTTGACCAATTCATTGGATCAGTCCATCAGAGCTGTGTGGCAATCAAATTTATCAAAATGGCAGGGCATCAATGGTTCCAGTTTTAACTTCACAAGTAAGTGTTATCCAGCCACTTGAATCATATCAACACAAATTTAGCTGGCCTGTAGTGTGATCAAACGATTGAAAGCTGTAAATTTTGGGGGTTAAGGATCTCGTTCGAAAGTGACGGAAAGGCGGCAATTATTTCAAAAAGGTTACAAGGAAATTCCATGAAGGATTGATAAAAACCACAGTGCAACCACAGCCCATTCTCATTTATTGCCAATGAACAAAAATTTATCTCAAGTCTCAAGCTAACAAAATTAAGATGCATTCCATCAGGTTATGCAATTATGCAAATAAAGAAGAGAAAAACATCCCTTGCCAAAAGTAATCAAAACTAGTACTCTTTTCGTCCCAAAACTTTCGTCTTACTTTTCATTTTGGAATGTTCTAAAATATTTTTCTTGTTTAGAAAATCAAAACTCTTTCTGGTCTATTTTCTAAATACTGTCTCTACTTTTAATCAAATGCACGTTACATTCAAATTTAAGATGTGAATTTTTAGGGTAAAATTGAAAAGAAAAGCCTAAACATCACAATCAAAACACAACTGATAAAAAGTTGGATTCCCAAAATGTGACCAAAATTTTGGGAAGGAGGGAGTAGATTTGATTATTGCACATCTAACCAAACTCCAAATTAATAATGCTTTGCTAGCATGATAGTGATATTACATCAAGTAAGCTCACATTTGACTTTGTAACGTACATAGGCCCAACTTTATACCAAAAACATCGTGCAATTGGCTCCATGGCATGGTTGAAATTCAACTTGATAGCGTATTGGTGGAGGGAGGAGTCACATATGCTCAAACAGTGGATTCTAACATTGTTGAATGTTGATGATTAGGTGTAGGAGTATTTGTATTTGTAGGTTCAATTCTATTCATCTTGAAGGATGCAGGCAAGTTGGAGCCATCATCCTCGTCATGATATACATAAGCAAATCCACCATGTCTTGTTAAATCCATCCCTGCCATTTCATCTTGTGTTGAGATTCTCAACAAGTTCAATTTGTGGAGGCCAAAAAACAGTGGACCCATTGTGGCTGAGACCCATCCAATAATCACAAGGATTTGTATGATTTGTGCTGCTAATAGCTTCCCACCACCACCCATGAACAACCCGTATGGTCTATCCGGTTTACCCGGGTACACCTCATTCACAAAATCCTTCGCCGCGAATAAGCCGGTGAACAGTAAACCCCACGCTCCACAACCGCCGTGGAGTTGGGCCGCCTCCAGTGGATCATCATACTTCATTTTTGCCGCTAGTTTGTTCAAACCCATCAGTACCCAAGCTGCTACAAAGCCACATACGATCGCGGCCCATGGTTCAACCACAGAACAACCCGAGGTGATTGCAGCAAAACCGCCTAATAGACCGTTGCAAACATCGAGAACATTCCAATGCCCGACTAGTAACCTTTTGCCAAACAGAGTAGTGAGTGCAGCTGTGCTCCCAGCCAATGTGGTTGTGACAGCTGTTCTCCCAACAGCACTCCACTGACCATAATAAGAACCCCTGGTCCCGTATGATTTTAAAATGGTAAAGAAAGAACCCGGATTGAATCCATACCACCCAAACCATAGTAAGAAAGTACCTAATACTACGAGTGAAGCACTGTGACCACGTAAAGCTACAAAGCGGCCAGACCGGTCGAACCGGCCAATTCTGGGGCCTTCAATTAAGGCTGCCCAAAGGCCAGCAACTCCACCAACCATATGCACTACACCCGAACCGGCAAAGTCAATAACTCCTGATCCAAAGAGAAGGTTTCCATCGGCCTTGGCTGCACCGGCCCAACCATCACCAGACCAGAACCAGTGTGAAACTATCGGGTAGACAAAGCCAGTCAAGAATGATGAATATATCAAGTATGCAACAAACTGCGTCCTTTCTGCTATGGAGCCACTCGTGATGCCTGACAACGAACATATATAGTAACTTATTAATACAGAAAATTTGAAGTATTTTAAGTTTTACTAATTAAGAAACATAATTAAATCAACTACGATATATAACCAATAGAATCTTTCATCAAGCATCGATAAAAAATATTGATACATCAACGAGTTCGTCATGCCACATAAACAAAAGAAGCATTTCAGAAAAGATTAATATATACTATATATTTTTTATACCGTCAGTGTAGAAAAGATTAATCCATATGCAAAAATCAACATATGTACCTGCAGCTGCAATAGCAAAGGCCCATTGATAGAGGAAGAAACTGTAATCCCCAGATTGTGAAGGGAAGGATTTGAGTCCAAAGAAATGGCGGCCGATGAAGCCATTAGAGGGTGAACCGAAGGCGAAGGCATAGCCAAAGAGGTAGTAGGATAAGCCACCGGCAGCAGCATCAAGAACATTAGTAAGCATGATATTCATGGTGTTTTTGGCACGTACCGAGCCAGCACAAAGCATGGCAAAGCCCAACTGCATGGCAAACACAAGATAAGCCGAGAAAAGTAGATAAGTGTTGTCCACGGCGTAGGTGGTGTCTAAGAGCTTGGATGCTACTGCACCAAATTGCTGGCAGATGTAGGTGGCGGCCGCGGAGGCATTCGGGGTGCTGCCTAGAAGAGGGATGAGTTCAGAGGCTGAGCAATTTAAAGAAGTTGCCATGCTGAAATGAGAAGGAAGTTTAGTTGTGGTAGGGAGAGCTTAGTTTGTCTATGAAGCAAAAATGGCATGGGGAGGTTTGATTTTATAGAGGAAGAATAGTAGAGGCAGGAGTTGAATTTTTTTTTCCCTTATTGTTTGTTTATGGTGTTGAGTTAATGTCCTTGTCTTAACAGGTAAGAAATTGTGTGCATAAATTTGGTCAATACTCCTTTTACAGTACAAATATCTCAGGGAATATAAGCAAGCGTTTTAAGGAAATTCCTAAGATACTCCCTTCGTTCCACTTTAATAGTCCTGTTTTCCTTTTTCGTCTGTCCCAAATTATAGTCCACCTTCTAATTGAAAAATGTAGTTGTATTTTAATTTTTCTAAAATACCCTTATTTAATGTAAGTTGTTGTTACTATAAACCTACCCCATTTAATGAGAGTTTATTCTTTTTTTACCATCAATTCAAGTTCCCATAAAGTTGTACTCTAATTAATGTGAGGGTATTTTAGGAAAATAACTACCTAAATTGATTGTTTCAACAAAATTAACTACTTTTTCTTAAACTGTGTGAAAAAAGAATCAGGACTATCAAAGTGGGACGGAGGGAGTATAAGGTATCTTGGGATTCATTTTGTGGAATCCAACTGTACAACATATGACATAAGAGCCTAAGGTTACTTATTATTGTGCTTTTTACAGCTAATTGTCCAAGTAATTGGACTATACATAGTTTTTAAATTTTTTACTTTCTTTTCGGGTATTAAGGGAATATGTAATCTTGTTTTGTCACTTATATCTTCATTTCCGATAAACACACAATGGACTGTTTTAAATACGAAGAGGAGGAAAATAAACACATAATAAATATTCAATAACTTTATTAACTCAATAAGAAGAATATTAAATCGTAACCTTGCAATTATGACCTCCCCCTCCAAAAACAATTTTGATGTTGTAAAGTGACTTGTCTATGATAGGTTATGTTTATTGCACATTTTACTTGCCATGAACCTCATAAAAAGTATAGCTGATGAAATGAGAGAAAGAGGTGAATCATGAAAAGTCGACTTAATAGTTTTGGCTAAGCTTCGTATGCTGCCATTCCCCTTTTTCTGAAGCTGGTAATGGAAGGCATGGAAGAGCTATCTACCTTTCAAAGGATGTGACATATAAATCATTCTAGAGGGTAATTTTCTTTAGCTCGAAGTCAAGCAAGACAACTTTGATTGACCGATCTTTCTCTGAGTACTAATAGAACATGAACAAAGAAATTGCCGAAAAAGTGAACATGAAATTCCAGTTCAATGTCTGAGTTCATATGTTATATCCACATGATTGGTGGTAAAATGGTTTTTTTTTTTAAAAAAAAAAAATTATTTATTTCCCTTTTTATGAACAAGAAACTAAATAATTAATCCTTTGGTGTTATTGATTGCAAATAATGAAATATCCCTTGAAAGAGAAAAAAAAAAACCATCGTTAATGCCAAAGACTAATGCATTTGCTTGGCAATTCCTTGGCTTTGTTAGATCTCGAATGATACATGTCTTATATGGTTATAATCTGTGAATTTGCATGTCAAGTTGCAGCCAAAGAATCCTGGCCCTGAAGTCAGAAGTTTTAATTAAATGTCACAATCCG